GGGGGGGGGGGGGGGGGGGGGGGGGGGGGGGGGGGGGGGGGGGGGAGCACGTACTTTTTTAGGTTGAGATCACCACCCATCTTTGCGGTTGCTGCTGCGAGCTAGATGAAGATGGGGATGGGAGTGTGGTAGGGAGTGGTGGGTGGTTTGTTGGCAGGGTGTTGTGAGGAGAAGAGATGGATGGAAGGAGGCAGCTCCGGCGCGGTTGTGACGATGGGTTGGGTGGGTGGTTGTTCCTAATCAGGAAGGATGGGTCCGATCGGGGCCCAGGGGCGGTGGCCGGAGCGGCGGACTGCATGTGCCATGGACGCCACTGCGGGTCGCACTTTCTGCCCAACTGTCGACTAACTACGCAGTCTCCGTATTACTGACTGCCTTTGGCCATTACATGAATCATGTAGCTATTGTTCTATACACAAAATACATTGTACGGTGTGGTGACACAAGGATCTAGAGCGATACTGGCAATACTGGGAGGGAAGGATTCTCAAAGATTCAGCAGTTGTTGATGTAATGGAGTATGCCGACAGCAAAACTAAAACAACAGTCATCGCAGTGCTTTGGCAATTGCACTGAACGACATTCAATGGATAGATACGTACAACAAGAAAGGTAGGTAATATATGGAAGCAGATCATCGAACAACATCCCCCCCCCTATGCTCACACAGACCTCCTGGCAAGCCTATCCGCAGTACACATACCAGCAGAGCTCTCCACGAGTCTTCGAGGGCCGCACAGTGCGTCTTCCTTATTTATCCCAGCCAACATAACTCCGAGGCATCACACGCCATACCTTACATTCTCCACTGCGCAAGTCATTCAGCTTGAAGCTCTCCATCTTGACCTTCTTGCTTTCTCTGCCCTGCTCCCAGGCGCGGATCTTCTTCTTGGTGCCGTCCCAGTCAACCACAATGCCTACGTGATCGGGCTTACCAACCTCAGAGCTGTACTTCTGATGCATGGTGCCACGGTGGCCCTGGAACCGTGCGTTGCGGAAAGTCACAACATCTCCTGCGCGGATCTCATCATTTTGCTGCACCGAGGCATTGGCTAGGTTCGAGTAAACCAGAGCACCGTAGGCGCGCGTGCCAACAGGAAGCAGGACATCAGACAGAGGACTGAGCAGATGCTGCACCAGGCCATGTGGAGTGCCATCCGCGACAGTAGTGTTTTGGATGCCATTAACTGCATTCGCAATGCGCGTGCCAATCTGGTTGTGGGCAGTTTCGAGTTGATCTTGACGCGGCTGATGAGGAGGCGCCTCGTGGCGCTGTTCGAGGGCCGCATCACTGGGGTTGCGAGCATCAAAGTTCACAGATATCACAGTTTGGGAGTAGTCGATGAACAAGATATAAACATCCTTGGTCACAGTGGTTTTACCGCCCCGCTTGGAGGAATTTGACTCTTCGAACTCGAGAAGAACATCCTTGCGATTCTGGAAAACAGGGGGAGGGGTATTGGGTTGCGTCCACCAAAGAGTGTTCTCTGCCAAGTCAACGTCCGTGGCAATAAAGCCTAAATCGATAGATGGACGGGAAACATCCATAGATCTCCGGACACTGGGCTGGGCTCTTGGAATGTCCAGCGATGCACGGTTGCTACGAGGTGTAGGCGGAGGTAGACTAGGGGGCGGAGGAGCCATCGAGGTACGCTTTTCACGAGGCGACGAAATGGACGTCTCGCCATAAGTTTGAACGGGTGAAGCTTCATAAAGATCATCGGACTCGTCTTCAGCAGACGGAGGAGGCATAGGTGGAGCTTCCGCCGGGCCGCTGGGGAAAGGTGGCGGTGGTGGTGCTCTTGAGACAGGCACGCCATGCTGAGGAGCAGTATAACGGTAAGGATCATACTCATCATCGTCACCGCCATATGAAGGCTCTCTTTGCGGTGGAGGAGGTGGAGGTCCTCTAGGCGACTGGATAGAGTCTCTGCCGGAACTCTTTGGAGGCTGGATCGGCGGCGGAGGGGGCACTGCTCGTGGGGCAGACAGAGGAGGGAGAGGCGGGAGGCGGGTCTGGGGCGGGCTACCAGGAGATCGAAGCGAGTGCTCGTCGGTCATGACACCTTCGTCGAGGCTAGAATCGCGGCCGTGTGACTTCAGAGCATCCTTGAACTTAGCACCAGATGCAATGTCCGTGTCGTAGTCGCCATCATATTCAGTGATTTCGCCTTCGGTACCCTCCCCGGCTTGGCGGGGCTGTGAAGTCATGCTTGTCCGACTGTCCGTTGTAGACCTTCGCCGAATATTGACTGGAGGAGGGGGAGGGATGGGTCTACTCTGAGATGAGACTGGGGGATTGACTGGTACCGGGGGAGGAGGGCGACTCATTCTCTTGTCTGCAGGGAGTGTCGGTGACAAGGGAGATGTTGTATCGTATGTCGATGCTCGGCGAGAGTCGAGATGGTCGAGGAGCGGAGGTGCTGGTTGCTCTGCTGCTGCAGTGGCCGGCGTAATGTTCGGATGCAGGGACAATTCGTCATCAGATTCGTCTCCTGGATCGGCAGGTGCAGCGCCCTTGGGTGGGGGCAGAGATTGAGCTAGTTCCTCCAAGTCAATACAAATTAACACCTAGCACTAGTTCGAGTAAACTTACATCCTGGAATCGGCGGAGGGGACAACGGTTGTTCATGAGGAACTGGAGGTGGTACCGGACGCGTGTTGAGTGGGGGAGGGGGAGGAACTGCGCGCTCTATGAATGGATTGTCAGCAGTAGCCCTCGTGGACATTGAACAGCATCTTCCGTACCTTGCGGTGTAAAGGGTCTATCGACAGACATACGACGTTGAGGGGGTTCTTCATGGACAACTTCCTCTACATCAGGAACCTCGTGTGCAGCATGCTGCTGAGTTATCGGGCTTGCAGGAGACTCTTCCTGTTCTTCCTCCTGCCCTTCTTCCTCTTTCTGGACATTAGGATAAACTGGAGGCTTTCCTGCATTCATTCCAGGTAAGGCCATGATAGGGACCGGAGGGGCTGCGGCGGGACGGGAGCTCTCATCATCAATGGCTCTCTCTGCCTCCGCAGGCGCAGGCGCCTTTGGTTTGCGAGCCGCACCAGGGATAGGCATACCACCAGGGGGCCCGAAGAAACCCATCATACCCATACCACCACTCATCTTTGCCATTCTCTCTCGAAGTTCCATCTTTCGCTTGACCTCAGGGTCAATATCCTCCTCTTCGTCCTCGTCCTCGCCCTCCTGCGCTGGCTCTTCGGCTTCTTCGTTATCCTCATCTGACTGCGGCTCATCTGTACGTTCCGCCTTTGCATGCGCATCCTGAGCCTGTGCTTGACGTCGAGCCTCTGCACGGGCTCGCTCGTCCGAGTCTTCCTTGCTCGTGGAAGTTTCTTCCGCGTCCTCCGTGTCGGCAGCAGCAGAATCGTCCGCATCATTGGTGTCGCTGGCGAGCTCCTGCGCAGGCGGGGGTGGCATTGCAGGCTGCGGCACAGCTGGTCCCACTGCTTCATGAGCATGTTCTCGTGCCGGATCGTGTGCTTCGGCTCCTTCAGCTGAAAGATCTTGTGTAGGAAGAGTGTCTTCGTGAGATTCGAGACGCTTCTTCGGAGGCCGCTTCGCCTTTTCCTTCTTTTGCGCAGCTTCGGCATGACGTTGAGCCTGTTCCATCTGTTGTTTCTGGAGCAGCGCAATACGTTCCTTGAGACTTGTTGGCTTGGGCTGATCCTCCACGCCTTCTTCCGGGCCATCACTCGACAGAGGACGGGCCTCAGACACAGGAGGCTCTCGCGTAGGAAGTTCTCTCGTTACTCTTTCTTGAACATCAGGATCCTCTTCTCTGCGATATACCTTCTGCGGGGGAGGCTCTCTGGGCGGCGGTACATAGGCGTTCTTACTAGGTGGCGGTGCAACAAATGGTTTCCGGATAAAGGTGTTGGAGCTCTGAGAGAGCCCGCCTGGCTTAAAGGGCGCAACTGGCGGCGCAGCAGGCTTGTTGAACGCCGCAATACGATCCCTGAAAGACGACCCGGTTGGCTTCTCGGCGACAGCGGGAGGCGGCGGCTTGGATACAGGTTTAGGGACGAGTTCACCAGCATCCCTCGTGGAAGGTTGGGGAACTGGAGCTGCTACCGGCTTAAACGGAGGAATCTCACTTGCCGGCGATGCTAGAGCTGGAGGGGGAGAGCTGGGTGGCTGAGGTACGGCTGTAGGTGTCTTCACAACCTCGGGCTCAGGCTCAGGCTCAGGCTCAAATTCAAGCTCGGGCTCGGGCTCGGGCTCGGGGTGGTAGGAACTCTCTGGAGCAGGGATTGCAGCTGCAGCAGCGGGCTCCGGGGGTGGCGGAACTGGCTCTGCTTCCTTCCTGGGTCTGCTGGGACGAGTCGGTCGCGGGGGTGCAGGGGGCTCATATCTTTCGACGAAATTCTTGGGGAAAATGCCCTCTACTTTGCGCCCGGAGTCGTCCGCATACTCACCAAAGTACCACTCTGCATCTTCCTCCGCTGTAACGGTTATGATCTGTCCGATAGCGAACTTAAGGTCGTCATCGTGGTCCGAAGAATACTCGAAGACCGCTCTGACCGTGAATGGCGGACTGGACATTTGGCAAGTTGAAGGTTCCCGTCACGGAGGTGGAATGGAAGACTTCAAGTTGGGATCGGAGGAATGGATCGAATCGAAGAGACAGGCGGAATATCTGCAGGCAAAAGCACTAAATTATGTACGGCTTTATGCAGTTCAACATATGCGAGATGTGCTTCACTGCGAGGTGGTCTGCTTTGAGGACAAGGAAAATAACAATAAGAATATGTCAGCCTGGTGGACTGACGTACGTCAGAGCATGGCCGATGGAGGGGGTGGGATCGGACACGCTCGCTCACACACCGCCAGAAGGACAGCTGGTGGGATCCAGGCTAGTGAGAAACTTACTGCATTCAGAAGGACACACTGCTCACGAGATGATATATTATTCACAAAAAGGGAAGGGAGGAATTGAGAAACAGAGGCGGAAAGTAGGGAATGATGAGCTGGTGGGGATTTGGGGGGGAGGAGGGGAGGAGAGGGAGAGGGAGAGGGAGAGGGAGGAATGAACCGAGAGGATGTACGGAAATGTAAGGCAAGTACAGTATGTACAGTCAGTTACGACAAGTAGACTAAAGTGTAGTTACAGAGTTGTTAGACTCGTTACAGACAGACGGACCCTCCTTAGTCCTCTTTCACTTCTCTTAAGTTCTCTCACTCACTCTCTCACTCTCTCTCTTGCTCGCCCGCTCTCACAAGCAGCTCCACCACGGGGGCGATCGGCGGCTAATAAGATTGAGCAGAGGCTGAACCGGTCATCCACCGATTCCATTGCCTGCCAATCAATCAATCAATCAACACATTTCATGAGTTGGGAACCTCACAAGCAGACGGGCACCTAAATTGGGTGACTACCAGGTGCACATGTTGTCATTCTTCTCCTGACCTCCTGATTACAGTCGCAATTGGCCACCGATAGGTGATTATGTAGCAGCTAGCAGGTCATAAGTATGAGTGAGGAGGACTAACCAACCTCATCGTCATCCAAGTGGGTGATTTGTTACCTGAGTGCGCTTAGCTTCCCTTTCAATCCGGGGTTTTTGCCTCCTGCCGACCCGACCAAATTTGCACCTTGTTCAACTCTCATTCCGACCTTCCCTTTCCATCCGACTCACTATTCACCTCATATCCGTCTTCCCTCCCCGTTTTTCTTTTCTCAAGTTGTATATATAATCTCTCCGTAAATATGTCCTCCGGTCGACAAGTACTGAAAACCTCACTCCCATCCGCGCACGCAGCTTCCGCTTCGTTAACTCGCTCAAACCCTGCTACCGCTCGTCAATCGCCACCCAAAGCCGGCATGTCACGACAGGAGCAAGGAGCATTAACATCCAGACCCGGTACTGATCCCCGTCATATGGCGATTGCGCTGCACCATGCGCGCCAGATCCAAGCCCAGAAGGATGCGGAGGCTCTCATTCTCGATCGCATTCTCGACCTCGTCCAGTTCCCCACCTCACCGTCCGCCGATCCCAGCTCCCCGTCCCCCGAAGATGCTCGGGCCTTCAAGTCTGCATTGACACCCTTCCAACCCGCCGATTACGACAATCTGATTCTGGAACGAAACATCGAAGGACTGTGCGGGTATACTCTTTGTCCCCACGAACATCGCAAGGAGGACTCTCGCGGCGCCTTTCGCATCACGTGGGGCGCGAAGGGCAGCGGGCCCGGCGGGCGCGGGCGCGAGATGAACATCGTCCCGAAAGAAAAGTTGGAGATGTGGTGCTCCGATGCGTGTGCGGAACGGGCGATGTTTATCCGAGTGCAGCTCGCCGAGCAACCGGTGTGGGAACGACGAGCGGACGATGCCCACGGCGCCCATATCCTACTCCTCGAAGAGGAACGGGCCAGAACACAGCAGCAAGGAAAAGGCAAGATGCGGAGCGCGGCCAGCGTCAACGAGGTCACCGGTCAGCTAGTGGACTTGCATGTGCACGAGGGACCAAGCTCCAGCGACGTGTTCGATCACATGGCCAAGCTGTCGGTTCGTGATGACGCACGTTCGCAAGAGCTTGCCCTTGAGCGTGGCGATGCTCACCCGGCACTGTACACGGGTCGCGTGGATGTTAACGTGCAGGAGAACAGTCGCGCTGCTGGACCTGTGACGGCACCGCAGATGCGCCCCGGAGACGAGAAAGGGGGCTCAATCGAAGGGTATGTGCCTCGTGATCATTGAGCTTGCCGAGGGCAAAAATGGCAGTAATGATTGAATGGAGCCATTGGCATTACAAGGGGCGTTGTATTCCAGGATGATACCCAGATAAGATAGCAATCTACAAAATCTAAGACGATATAGCATCTCTGAAGATCGGCAAAAGCATCGATCATAGAGTCACAAGACATGGCTGTCGGATTGGCGATGACATATGGAATTCCTACGCAGCAACCAGCCGTGAGACCAGCTGCTGAACGGGAAGTGAATTGGCAATCAAGCGTCATCTCCGTCAGGAGAATCGGCGACACCTTGTTTGACGAAAGTCATGTTCATTCCTCACGAGTCTGTTTCTAGACTACAATGGTAGCTGGAAGCCTGCCAGAACAAGCATGAAAACGCCATGGACCGACCCAAGACAATCGTGAAACTTTTTCATTTTCCGCTCGCGGGCGCACAGATTTACCGGTAGCGACGGGGGCGCTCCTGAACCTGCTGCTGGGTGACGTTGACGACGTTGACCTTGAGGTTGTCGAACTAGAAAACGTGAGACATATTAGCTTGCTTCAACTTCCCCACTATCTGATTCATGGTTGGAGGGAAACTTACACCGAGGCTCTTGAGGAGATCCTTGGTGTCGGCGTCGACATCGAGCTGGCCGGACTCGGTCTGGGAGACATCCAGAGCGGAGACCTCAGGAACGTACTGATCCTTGCGCTCACGCTCCTCCTCCTGAAGCTTGAAGGAGATACCGCGGACAGGGCCACGCTGGATACGCTTCATAAGGTGGGTAGTGTAACCAGCAATCTAATTCCAACAAAAAATCAGCGATCCACTCCGGGTTTTTAGCTTCTTGCGGCGCGCGCAAATTCGACTAACCTTGTTGCGGAGACGCTTGGAGGCAATGATAGCGATCTCATCGCAAATGCGCTTGTTGGTCTCGAAGTCGAGCGTCAACTTGGGGTAGTAACGCTCGATGATGACCTTAGCGGAACGCTTGACTGTCTACACGGCGAAAATCATTAGAATTGTGGCATCAACACGCGATTTCTGTGCGGTCTCTGCTCACCTTGGTACGGACGCGACCCATTTTGGCGGTTTGTTGCTGGCTGGATGGATGTTCGAAACTCCGACCAAGATTCCTTATGTCTCCCGATCCTCAAAGACACCCGCCCTCGCTTAGCCGTGTGCGGGTCACGTGCTGGTAGTCGCCCTGTCGGTCAGCCCTAACTATCTGCACGTGATCATTACTCTCAACCAATGCTTAAGCAGCATTTGTGGCTGACCAACTACTGAGTCACCAGTAGTTATACGTAAGGAACTATCTAGTACTCCGTTCATTAACGACTTATACTGAAAATTCTCATTGGTAGTCAAAGGAGCCATTACGAGTAAATTGGGGACCAGGCGAGCGTTTCAGAACTTGAGAATGGTTTGGCAACAGGTGAAACTGCTACTATGTATGGACTGCAATGTGCTTATACAACAGAAAAAGAAAGAAAGAACAGGAGTAGCTCTACATTGACCAGAAAACCGCATATTCATACAGACCGCACAGCTCCCCAATAGCTGCAAAAACAAGCTGCACCATCGAGATAGAAAAAAAGAATACCACTAAACCAGATAGGTCTCGCTCATACTTAGGTAAAGCTCTTCATGAGATCCCGTGCGAGAGCCTCCGGATTATCCGCTGGGGAGCTTAAGTCCTCCGACGCCGAGAATGTGCCGGTCTGAGGGCGGGCTCTATCCAACCTCGGCACCTGCCGCTGGCCACTTTGAGCGACGTAACGGGGCACTTGCATTACTCTCGGCTTCTGGTACTCTGTGATTCCGTACGGTGCTCTAGACGTAACGGTAGCGCGGTAACTAGCCAAATCAATGCGACCGTATGAATTGATGGAAGCCCGAATAGGGTTGACCCAGTACTTGGCACCACCAGGGATAGAGGCGTCAAATTGATCAAGGCCAGCTGGCCCGTCATATTCAGTGAAGGCCATGGCGTTGAGATCTTCCACAACGATACCAGCAACACCGCCAACCGCTTTGCCTCCCTTGTTCTTGAACCTGCCCTTGGGACGCAAGACACGTGCCTCAACAGGACGTTGATAAGTCTGAGGTCCAAATCTGGGATGGTTGTAAACCAAGGCGTGAGACCTGGTGTAGGACAATCCTGCGGAGGGGTGCGTCTTCGGAGGTCCGGACGCAACATACTCAGGAGCAGACAGTTGGGGGGCAGGAGGTAGGTAATAGGTCTTTCCAATCAGGTCGGAAGGTATCATAGGAGGTGGTGGGAGATCCAGGATTTGGAAGATCACTGGGCCTAGGCTGAATGGATCCGTACGCAGCGACTTGACATATGCCTGGAACTCTTTCGCATCAAATACGAAGGGTTCATCGATGCCCGCAAAATCTCCGCTGTCCTGTGCCTGCTTTCTTCGCTCGGCCTTTTTCTTTGCGACGAAATAACTGCGCAACTTTTTCATGATCTTCGGCTTGTCCCTGCGCACAGTATCCAAGTAGGCCTGGAACTCCGCCTCCGTCTGACTGGCGAGGTATGGTCCAGAATGGCGGAACTTTTTGGCGGCCGGGTCTTTGAGGCCGTTGCTTGTTTCGGTATTGTCCAAACGGGCCTCGAAAGGACTCGAGTGCCGAGGAGCCATATTGCTGGAGTAGCTGACTTTCTCAGGAAGGGACATCGGCAAATGGAGCTCTTGAAACTTCTCCAAGGTCACCGTATGATCCGCCGCGGATTCGAAATCCGTGGTATGTTCAAAGGTGTCTAAAGCATTGAGTCGAACCACAGGCCGTGAGGATCTAGCGGACGTTGTCTTTGCCGGCAAGGGTCTCTTCAAACCCCAGTCACCCTTCAGAAGAGAAGATGATGGTGTGACAATGGCCGCTCGAATTGGGTGAGGAAGGGTTGCGGAATCGGATTCAGCGACCTGCCTCGAAGTTGGTCGTTCTTGAGGCGGAGCCAAGGCCTGCGGAAGTGCAAACAAGCGAGACTTCCGCAGCAAGTTTGCTGTCGGGGATAGCCTGGCTGTCACCATGGCGCGGGACTGATGGCTGGGACGTTGTGCGGGTGGTCTCTGTCCTGAGGAAGCTGGAGAAAAGTTGATTGTAGCGGACAATCCTCTACAGCCGCGCCAAGCCGTGGGTTACGGCAGCCCACAACAACACACCATGCACCTGATCACCCATCGCAGGGTTGTAAAGCCTGTTGGCTGCGATGTCAAGCCACGAATTCAAAAATCCTTCTTCCGTAGGTGGTGCTGATTTGCCCGTGTGGCACCAGGGTCTATCTGAATATTACATCCGATCAATATTTTGGCGGTGGTCTGAATATCGCTATTCAAAATACTGACCACGGTACCTAGATCGACGTCGCACCTGATATCTGATTTGCAAACACTGTATATGGTAGAAAGCTGACAGCAGCTGTCGGGCTTTCTTTGAAGTCGGTGCTTAGAGATCAGGTAGAAGGATTTTACTAATATGCGAGGCGCTTCAGCTTGTTAGAATGTTTGCTACATAGAAGGTGTAAACACCATTTTAAGAGACTAATGTTGACTAGGGAATGTTGGGATATCATAAGCATTAAGCTATCTTCAAAGATTCAAAGGTAGGTCTTCCGTCTACATGGCTGATTATAAGATCTACCTCCCAGACGTCTGCCCACATCAATATGATGCTTTGAAAGGTCTCAGAGTCTCAAGGCCAGGACAGCACAATGAGATACATTTTCTCAACGCGAACAGTGAAGGGCTCCTAATGAGCTATCTGAAAGGTATAGTATAACATTTTCTTCACACTGAGAGTTATAATACTGTCACAATCAATGTTGCTGCATCTAAAGTAGGCTTCGGTCATGATTCTTCAATGCAGAGCGTTTCGGATCCTTTCAGTGTCTTTTCATGATATTTTTGAAGTGGGGTACTCAGGTCATAAGGTCTTGAATATGTAGTTAACACTTACTAGCTCTTTCAGATCGATGATACGTGGCGCAACATCATATATGATCACGCAGAAACGCTGAGAATTGACTTAACTGTGTCAACAACCGTTTCCCTCAGTTGCCGATACTGAATACCTAGAATCTCAATCGACTTCTTGTTGTCGTAGCCATACACATTATCAGGCAGGTCGCTAGGCGCATCCGTTGAGGGTAGCTTCTCTGCGACCTCGGGAAACGACTCTCGTACCACTTCCACAAGCTCTTTGTTGGTAAAGTAGCCAGAAGTAGTGAAAAACCTTTGGCCACCGGCCTCAGAAACCTCAATAGCCCTAACGTGGGCTAATGCGACATCATGAACATCTACCCACAAGAACGTACCCGTAGGAGGAAGACCATCTTTGAATTTCCCTTGGACCAGGTTTGCAAGTCTTTGATTGGAAGTGTTGATGGCGTCCAAGGAATTCAGGTAGGGAACAACAGGGCCAAAGACCAGAGGTGGGTTGATGGTTGCAATGTCGAAGTTTGGCTTTTCGTTCTCAACGAATTCCCAAGCGGCCTTTTCAGCAAATGTCTGATGCAAGCAAGAAAGTCAGTAAGGCAGCTACCGTGGATTGGGGCTCTAAATGACAGACGGGTGCATCGCACCTTGCTTGCTCTGTATGTTTGAGCAGGATCCATCGCCTCCTCCCACGTTACAGGGTTCCAGTTCTCCTCACTGTAAACCTTCGCATGTGCTTTAGGGTTGACGATTGCAGCGAAGGATGAGGTGACCACCACACGCTTAACAGTCGGAGCATGGGCTTTGATTGCTTTCAATATGCCAGTAGTACCCTTCACGGCTGGCTCCAGAAAATCCTTCACAGGGTCTGAGATGTTAAAGTGAAATGGCGATGCGGTGTGTAGAACATAGTCGAAGGGCGGATCGGATTTAACAGCCTAAATTCAAGAATGCTTAGCCATGGCACAAGTAGAGAAACGAATTCGGCCATACCTCGTCAAATGCGCCATCTGCTGCAACATCCTGAACAATGATGTAGGAGAGCTTCTCCTTTGGCGTGTTTGGATGCGCATTAAGGATTTTCTGTCCTTTTTCATCGGACCGCACCGTAACGACTGTATCAAATCTACAGTATGGGGGTTTTCGGTCAGCATTCGAATAAACCCCAACTTAAATCCATCGCACTCACCCACGCTCCAAAAGATTGTCGATGATGTGAGCAGCAATGAAGCCACTACCTCCTGAGACAGAATGTCAGTCTTCTCCACAGCAAGCACTATGAGCTGGGCCTTTCTTACCAGTAAGAAGGACTTTAGGCATATTGAGTATAGTGGTACTAGTCTTGCTTGTTCTAAATTGGAATGAGCAGGTTTCAGAGGTAGTTTTCGACTCCCTTGGAATATCTCGAGGGGTGATTTCCTTGCCCTTTTGAATACCTGGGGATACACCGTTACCCCTCAAATGACGAACTATATGCCCCCCCACTACGATCCACTGTTGGTCATATCATACGAACTCGATAGGCGCCCACTCTGATTACAAATACTGGAAACAGATCGCGACTAGATAGGAGATGGCCATCTAGCTCCGCGACATTACCGGGGTTCAAATTGTGGCTGGCTGTTGGCTGTTGTCCACTGAGTCTGCCCCAAGCGCCTGTAGGCGGATTTAAGGGAGGCAGATTCGCTGACATTGCGTTATCGGATAAGCACTCTAGACCGGATTTACGATAACAGCGTTTCTTAGTTCCTGATCGTGGTCTTTGATGTACCTGGGAAGATAGATCAGGCAAGTGACCCCGTTTACAGCGATCAAAAGCAGGACTTCTGATGATGACATTGCTACCGAACTCTCATCCCAGAACCCAGTTATAGAAATTATTTGGTCATACACCTCTTCAACTATAGATGCAGCCGCCGCCCTCCGTAAGCTTTGAACAAATGCATTAGCTTCTCTTGTCTAGTATGCACTGTCCCGTATGCTTTTGGAAAAAGGCCCAGTTGCCTGCCTCAGAAAAGTTTACATGGATGATGCTTTAGTCTCACCACAACCATGACCACAACAACAAGAAAACTTCTAGAGAATGAACTGGTGTTTCAGTAGCATGCTCAAGTGCATATTTCATCCCCATAGCCGAGCGCGTTGCAATGCTTATTTTGCCACTAGAAACAGCCGATTAACCGAACATTTGAGACCCGTTAATTCACATAGTCGAAGGCATATTCAATTGCGACGGTGGAAATTGGGTATGAGTTATGATAGGGGCCGCCATGACCACAATTAAAAACTTAAGCCTGGCTCAAGCTTGGCCAATGACATGGCTGTTGAAGTATAAGTCCGAGTAATAAATGAAATTATGAAGAGCAGGGATGAATTCAGTTCTTTTCAGATAGGAATTATAGTATCCCACTCCAGCGGGCGAGTCTGCGTACCCGAATCCCAACCAGGCATTTCATACTGAGCTCAGTGCCTCAGGCCATAAATGGTCCGTGCACGGGTTTCCGGAGGCCGTCGACCTCACCTCCCGCATCGCTCAGGGCCACCCATATCGGCTCTCCACCCCATGTCCAACTCGTGTCATCGTGCATGCCCTAGAGGTTGACTTCAAATGTCCACCCTGGGGTGTGGTACGCAATATGGCGCAAGCAGGTCCTATCACGGACGTCACTCAACGACTCTTCATCGAGTTAAAGTCTAAGAACGAGGAAACGCGGGTGCGAGCTGCTTATGAGCTTTACGACAACGTCGTTGCCATCTCACGAGGTAACACTTTCGGTATCGGTCGCACAAGAAATAAGGCTAATACTTTGCTCTTTGGTAATAGACTGGCCTCCAGAGAAGTTTCTCGAGTTCTTCAACGCAGTTAGCCAGCGCATCGCACAGCTCGTGGTTACCGGCAATGACGCACACGACAAGATTGGCGGGCTATTGGCTCTCGATCGCCTAATAGATTTCGATGGTGTGGACGCGGCTCAGAAGACAACTCGATTTGCAAGCTATCTTCGTAATGCCCTACGAAGCAATGATACTGCGGTCTTGGTGTACGCAGCTCGGGCACTTGGCCGTCTGGCCAAGCCCGGTGGAGCTCTTACGGCAGAATTGGTCGAGAGTGAAATACAATCTGCTCTAGAGGCTCTTCAGTCTGAGCGGCAGGAAAGCAGGCGGTTCGCTGCGGTACTTGTTATCCGGGAGCTTGCCAAAGGCTCACCGACACTGCTCTATGGCTTTGTCTCCCAGATATTCGAGCTCATCTGGGTCGCTCTTCGCGACCCCAAGGTGCTTATCCGAGAAACTGCAGCCGAGGCCGTCAGCGAATGCTTTGAAATCATTGCTGCCAGAGATATGCAAGTTCGACAACTATGGTTCGCACGAATCTACGAAGAGGCGCTGCTAGGTCTCAAATCCAGCAACGTGGATTGGATTCATGGATCGCTTTTAGTGCTAAAAGAGTTACTTTTGAAGGGCGCCATGTTTATGAACGAACATTACCGGAATGCATGCGAGATTGTCCTTCGCCTCAAAGATCACCGTGATCCCAAGATACGCACCCAAGTTGTTTTGACCATTCCGATCCTCGCCTCTTATGCTCCACTCGACTTCACAGAAACCTATCTACATAGATTCATGATCTACCTTCAAGCGCAACTCAAAAGAGATAAGGAAAGGAACTCTGCATTTATTGCAATTGGAAAGATTGCCAACGCTGTCGGTGTTGCTATCGCACAATACCTCGATGGTATCATTGTTTACATCCGAGAAGGCCTTGCTATGAAAGCGTAAGATGCATTTTCTGCCCCTGCGCAATATCCTAAACATCAGCAAAGCTAATTTATACAAGCCGCAATCGAGCTGCCGTAAATGAAGCACCGATGTTCGAATGTATCAGCATGTTGTCACTGGCAGTGGGACAGGCACTCAGCAAATACATGGAAGCGCTGCTCGACCCTATCTTTGCATGCGGGTTGAGCGAGTCTCTTACCCAAGCTCTGGTCGATATGGCCCACTACATCCCTCCCATCAAGCCGATAATCCAAGAGAAACTCCTGGATATGCTGAGCCTGATTCTCTATGGTACCCCCTTCCGACCGTTGGGTTGTCCTGAAAGCAGATTGCCACCCATGCCTTCCTTTGCCAGGGATTTCGGACCTCAGGAACTTCATTCTGACACCGAAATTGCACTTGCACTTCACACTCTGGGGAGCTTCGACTTCTCGGGACATATTCTCAACGAATTTGTTCGTGATGTAGCCATCAATTATGTCGAGAATGACAATCCTGAAATTCGAAAGGCATCCGCACTCACTTGCTGTCAACTGTTTGTCCATGACCCCATCATCAATCAAACAAGTAGTCATTCGATACAAGTTGTCAGTGAAGTTATCGACAAACTTCTCACAGTCGGCGTGGGAGATCCTGACCCAGAGATACGACGGACAGTCTTATGGTCTTTGGACCGGAAGTTTGACCGTCATCTTGCCAGACCGGAGAATATTCGTTGCCTCTTTCTAGCAGTCAATGATGAAGTGTTCCCCGTCAGAGAGGCTGCTATCTGCATCATCGGTCGCCTGTCCAGCGTTAACCCGGCATATGTCTTTCCACCACTCCGAAAGCTGCTTGTTAATCTCTTGACAAGTCTCGGCTTCGCAAGCACTGCTCGTCAGAAGGAAGAGAGTGCCCAGCTGATCAGCCTCTTTGTTTCGAATGCTACGAAGCTCATCAGATCTTACGTAGATCCGATGATCACTACATTGCTGCCAAAAGCCACTGATGTAAATCCGGGTGTCGCTTCGACAACTCTCAAGGCTGTCGGGGAGCTCGCAAGCGTTGGCGGTAGCGAAATGAAAACGTACCTGCCGCAACTGATGCCAATTATTCTCGATGCATTGCAGGATCTATCGTCTCATGCGAAGAGAGAGGCAGCCTTGCGAACTCTCGGACAATTGGCTAGTAATTCCGGATATGTCATAGATCCGTACCTCGAGTACTCTCACCTCCTTGCTGTCCTGATCAACATCATCAAGACGGAACAAACCGGATCCCTCCGCAAGGAAACCATCAAAGTCTTAGGAATATTGGGAGCCTTGGACCCCTACAAGTATCAGCAAATCAGCGAAACTGCGCCAGATATCCATCACATCAATGAGGTGCAGACCGTCTCCGATGTCGCTCTCATTATGCAGGGCTTGACACCATCTAACGACGAATACTATCCGACAGTGGTCATCAACACACTAATGCAGAACATCTTGCGTGAGAACTCCCTTGCTCAGTACCATTCTGCAGTTATCGATGCAATCGTCACGATCTTCAAGACGTTGGGTCTCAAGTGCGTGCCCTTCCTTGGACAGATCATCCCGGGCTTTATTTCCGTCATCAGAGGATCTCCTCCAAGCCGTCTCGAGTCTTACTTCAACCAGCTGGCAGTCTTGGTGAATATTGTACGGCAACACATACGGGCTTTCCTTCCGGAGATAATTGAAGTCGTTCGTGATTTCTGGGATGCCTCATATCAAGTCCAGGCCACAATCCTTTCCTTGGTTGAAGCAATAGCAAAATCTCTGGAAGGAGAATTCAAGAAGTATCTTGCAGGACTTATCCCGCCCATGCTTGACACATTCGAAAAGGACACTACACCGCGCCGACAACCCTCTGAGAAGATCCTACACACCTTCCTGATATTTGGCCCTAGCGGCGAGGAGTACATGCATCTTATTGTGCCATCTATTGTGCGCCTGTTTGACCGGACACAAAATCCGACCAGTATACGAAAGTCTGCTATTGACACTTTGACGAAGCTATCACGCCAAGTCAATGTTTCGGACTTTGCATCCTTGATGGTTCACTCTTTGTCACGCGTGGTTGCTGGTAGTGACCGCACCTTACGCCAGGCTGCCATGGATTGTATCTGTGCACTTATCCTCCAGCTCGGCCAAGACTTCAACCATTACATACATCTTTTGAACAAAGTCTTGAAGGCACATCAGGTCAGTCATAGCAACTACCACATGCTGGTGACCAAGTTACAGAAGGGAGATCCTCTTCCACAGGATCTTAACAACCCTGATGAAAACTATGCAACACTTGCAGATGACGCCAATTATGCAGAGATTGGGCAGAAGAAAATGCTTGTCAACCAGCAACATCTTAAGAGTGCTTGGGATGCTTCTCAAAAATCCACTCGAGAGGATTGGCAGGAATGGATAAGACGTTTCAGCGTGGAACTGCTAAAAGAATCTCCTTCCCCGGCTCTACGCGCGTGCGCCAGCTTAGCTGGCATCTATCAGCCACTAGCAAGGGACCTTTTCAATGCTGCCTTCGTCTCATGCTGGACGGAGCTGTATGATCAGTATCAAGAGGAACTAGTCCGGTCAATTGAGAAAGCGCTTACTTCGCCCAACATCCCCCCCGAAATCCTTCAGGTTCTGCTTAATTTGGCAGAATTCATGGAGCACGACGACAAAGCTCTCCCAATTGACATCCGCACCTTGGGCAAGTATGCCGCTAAATGTCACGCTTTTGCCAAAGCCCTCCACTACAAGGAGCTGGAATTCGAACAAGATCAGAACTCCGGGGCAGTTGAGGCCTTGATCACCATTAACAACCAGCTTCAACAGTCCGACGCCGCTATTGGAATTCTCCGCAAGGCACAGGCGTATCGAGATGTCGAACTCAAAGAGACGTGGTTCGAGAAGCTTCAGCGCTGGGAAGAAGCTCTCGCTGCTTACAAACGGCGTGAGAGGATCGACCCTGATTCTTTTGGAGTTACCATGGGTAAAATGCGCTGTCTTCACGCTCTTGGTGAGTGGAAGGTGCTTTCAGACCTCGCTCAGGAGAAGTGGAATCAAGCATCTCTTGAACACCGAAGAGCAATAGCACCTTTAGCCGCTGCTGCTGCCTGGGGACGTGGACAGTGGGAACTGATGGACTCTTACCTGGGCGTTATGAAAGAGCAATCCCCGGATCGCTCTTTCTTTGGCGCAATTCTGGCTATCCACCGAAACCAGTTTGACGAAGCTACGATGTATATCGAGAAAGCGCGCAATGGCCTGGACACCGAGCTTTCCGCTTTGTTAGGCGAGTCGTATAACCGTGCCTATAATGTTGTTGTGCGCGTCCAGATGCTTGCTGAGCTGGAGGAAATCATTACATACAAGCAGAACATCGGTGATCCTGAAAAGCAGGAATCCATGCGTCAAACGTGGAACAAGCGGCTTCTTGGATGTCAACAAAATGTGGAGGTATGGCAACGCATGCTCAAGGTTCGAGCACTTGTTACGTCGCCTCGTGAAAATCTTGAAATGTGGATCAAATTCGCCAATCTATGCCGAAAGTCCAACCGCATGGGCCTTGCTGAGCGATCTCTTGCATCTCTCGAAACTACTGTGTCTGACAGCAATGGCACGCGGGTCATTGCTCCCCCAGAAGTTACTTATGCTCGTCTCAAGTTCAATTGGGCTACTGGCCGCCAACGTGAAGCGTTGCAAATGCTCAAAGAGTTTACTTCAGGCCTTACTGAAGATTTCACTCGGTACAACACCCTCATACTATCACAAGCCGATCACGGCGGAGTCAATGGTGTCAATGGAGTAAACGGGGTGAATGGGGTGAATGGTGTCGCTGATGCGAATCATCCTGATGTTCAAGGGCTCCGGGAACGCATTGGCGATGTAGCCAAATTCAGGAAGCTTCTGGCTAAGAGTTATCTCCGACAAGGCGAGTGGCAGACTGCCATGCAAAGAGGTGATTGGCGGCCCGAGCATGTTCGCGAGGTGCTCAACGCTTATGCCGCTGCGACAAACTACAATCGTGATTCATATAAAGCATGGCACTCTTGGGCATTGGCGAACTTCGAAGTTGTCACGACAATTGCAAGCCAAGCCAGCAGAGATGGCACGACTATGGCGATGGTGCCGGGCCACATTGTAACGGAGCATGTGATACCTGCACTCCGGGGCTTCCTCAGGTCCATCGCATTGTCGTCAACGTCTTCTCTCCAGGACACCCTCCGACTTCTGACTTTGTGGTTCGCCCATGGTGGTGATACAGAGGTGAACAGCGTTGTCGTTGAAGGCTTTACGGCGGTCAATATCGACACTTGGCTTGCAGTTACCCCCCAGCTTATCGCCCGAATTAACCAACCCAACATCAGAGTACGAAGTGCAGTTCATCGACTGCTATCCGAGGTTGGCAAAACACATCCTCAAGCATTGGTTTACCCCTTGACGGTTGCGATGAAATCGAATGTTACGAAGCGTTCGCAATCTGCCAGCAGTATTATGGACAATATGCGACAGCACAGCGCAAAGCTGGTCGAACAAGCTGATTTGGTTAGTCATGAGCTCATCCGAGTCGCGGTACTGTGGCACGAATTGTGGCATGAAGGTCTGGAGGAGGCATCTCGGCTCTACTTCGGTGATCACAATGTTGAAGGGATGTTCGCAACACTTGCACCCTTACATGACATGCTTGACAAAGGAGCAGAAACATTGCGTGAAGTATCTTTTGCGCAGGCTTTTGGTCGAGATCTTGCTGAGGCGAAGCATTACTGTATGCTTTTCCGTGAGACTGAGGAGATTGGCGATTTGAACCAGGCATGGGATCTCTACTATACTGTGTTCCGCAAGATCAGCCGGCAGCTTCCTCAGTTGTCGATCCTCGATCTCAAGTATGTTTCTCCCAAACTCAAAGACTGCGTGGATCTCGACCTTGCCGTTCCTGGAACCTACCAAAGCGGTCGACCTATCATCCGGATTGTCAGCTTCGATCCCATATTGCATGTTCTACAGACCAAGAAGAGACCGCGTAGAATGACCCTCAAAGGCAGCGACGGCAACTCCTACATGTACGCGCTCAAGGGACACGAAGATATCCGGCAAGACGAGAGAGTCATGCAACTATTCGGCCTTGTTAACACCCTTCTGGATAATGATGGGGAGAGCTTCAAGCGCCATTTATCTGTGCAACGGTTCCCTGCCATTCCCCTGTCTCAGAGCTCCGGTCTTCTAGGATGGGTCTCCAACAGCGATACATTGCATGCATTGATCAAGGAATACCGAGAGAGCCGTCGGATATTACTCAACATTGAACATCGTATCATGCTTCAAATGGCACCGGACTACGATAATCTCACGCTCATGCAGAAAGTGGAAGTATTCGGGTACGCCATGGACAACACTACCGGGAAAGATCTTTATCGTGTCCTTTGGCTCAAAAGCAAGAGCTCGGAGGCGTGGCTTGAGCGGCGGACGAACTACACTCGATCTCTTGGTGTCATGTCTATGGTTGGGTACATACTTGGTCTGGGCGATCGCCACCCGTCTAACCTCCTTCTCGATCGAGTTACTGGCAGAGTGGTTCACATTGACTTTGGTGATTGCTTCGAGGTGGCCATGCACCGAGAGAAATACCCAGAAAGAGTGCCTTTCCGCCTTACTCGCATGTTGACATTCGCGATGGAAGTGAGCAACATCGAAGGCAGTTATCGTATCACATGTGAAGCGGTTATGCGTGTTCTCAGAGAGAACAAGGACTCCCTTATGGCTGTGCTCGAAGCGGTGAGTCTCTTATTTTCAGGATGGAATCTGACAAGGATATCTACTAATTGTTTTAATAACAGTTCATTCATGATCCTTTGATCAATTGGCGTCTGGGAGTCCGCGAGTCGCCAGATCGGATGCCCTTCTCCGCAGAGCGTCGCCAGTCTGTCGTTTCCAACATCAATCTTGAGCATGGCGTGCAGCCAAGCAATTTCTCGCGCCACCGCCGCCCATCGATCCTCGAAGGCGGGATTCTAGATGCGCAGGAAGGAATCCCCAACGAAGCACGAGAAGCACAGAATGCGCGCGCGCTTCAGGTACTTGCGCGAGTCAAAGAGAAGTTGACCGGTAGAGATTTCAGGCCCAACGAGGAGCTCAACGTCAGCGACCAAGTTGACAAGCTTCTTGCCCAGGCTACCAGCGTGGAGAATATCTGCCAGCATTGGATTGGTTGGTGCAGTTTCTGGTGATTATGTTGTCCTGCCTATTATGGATTTCTGGTTCTCGCGGAGGCGCAACTTGTGATGACGGACTTTTGCATGGCATGGCTACCATTTCCCTTCCTCCTTACTTATTCTCCACCTTCTCGACTATCTTGTTTTGTCTTCGTCTTTCTGTGTGTAGTATTATTACTTATTTGCTCCCGCGTTTATCTTCTCTTTACCTGCTCTGTGCCCTACGAGGAAGTAGGAATTGTCAGGAGCTGCCGTTCATGATATGATTCTTTTGCATGTCTCCATTCGAGAATTGCATGTTGTTGCATGTTGCTCAAGGTCGAACGGGTTGTGGGATAGACGGTTAATGGTGAATTTCGCAATGATTCGTGCCAATTTCTTCTAAGAGAACGGGATCAGCACGTGTTTTGCCCAGTGATGACTAGCCGAGGTCACGGGCGGACACAGGATTGAAGGAATCTCCTTGGATTCCTCCCTTCCATCTTCCCACCTTAATTATCTCCCCTACCATTCTTTTTCTGTTGCGCTTTCATCTGTTTCTCATATCCCAGGATGTGACCGGAGCCATTCCGGCTATCATCAGTGAGAAGCATGGCGTCCGACACCCCGCCCGACCCCGAAACCCAACCTGTGGTTCGCACCCTCCTCCGCATTTCCCTTAGCGCCAAGGAATACAAGCGTCTCCACGATTATGCCATCCAACGCACTCCTTTATCCGTCCAGGGAAGGCTGCCGTCTCCATCCAGGTACGAGGCCATTATCGGCTCGAAAAATAAGCACAATGTCGCTGCTGTGCGGGTGGCACTGCGGACCTTCCTCCTCTCGTTATCCCTCACAAAGCTCGCCGACACCGTGATAAACCGGATACGCGGGGATCTGCCGAGGTACATTAGGCCTTCCTGTTCGCGTTGTAGGCTGGCAATAGTTAACATAGATCTCATCTCTTCCAATAGCAAGGAACCGAGAGCCTCATCATCCCCCCGCTCCCCGAAACTTCGCATATCCGCGTCGCTCGCGCTTCTTCTCCTCTTTCACCGATTCCTATATCGTTTCTTCGTCAAGCTGCGCGCCAACCTCCGCACCGATGACGCTCGGCCATTCCGAGATCGCAACCCACGAATCTCCAATGTGCTCACTTCACGCTTTGCCCCGGCCATCGGGGCCAGTCTGGCGGGGTTCGCGCTAGGAATCTGCCCACGAAGCCAGTTTCGCATAATCGCAGCCATCTATTCGGCCACTCGTGGCTTGGAGTTCCTGTTTAATGCGTTGGATGAAAAGGGCTGGTTTGACAACCGGCCGGCCTGGTTCGGCAGTTGGTTGTTGATGCCAGTTTCTTGTGCGCAGCTGTTTCATTCGTTTATCTTCGATCGAGAGGCTGTGCCATCGGTGAGTAAAAGGATTTGATGCTCTTTCATTCTGGACGACAAACACTGAACACAGCTTGCCAGTGGCTTGGAATGTTGATCTTTAGGCTCTCCCCGAGTTACATCCGCGGTCATCCCGAGAGTCTGCCTCTGGATATCGCTTGGCCCGACAAGGAGAATGTCATCGATTCGCTCGCAACTATATCTGCTCTAAGATGGCCGTGAGTGAACCCTCACCACCCGAATCATCTAAATGTGCTGCATTCCAGCCCTTGTACTGATTATTGATGGATCAACAGATCGTTTGTATCGCCCATCCTACATCCCGGCACCTCAAAGACACTACCTTCGTCACTGGCGTCTATCTCCCCGGTGACCGGGTCCGCCCACCCAGCCATATCCAGCCTGTCCTGCGCCCTGCTCCACCCCAGCAGCCCCAGCTGCAGCACCGCCTTCCTGCACCACATCCTCCTCTCCGTGCCGCCCCTCGCGCGGCTCCTGACCGCCGCCACCCTGGCGCTCTCCCTGCGCAACTTCAAAACCCTGGCGTCCCACCCGATCACGTCGCTGAACGAACTCTCCCAGAGGATCATGAAGCTGACCGCCGTGCTGTCAGCCTCGGCCGGCGCCGCCTGGGCCAGCATCTGCCTGTGGAACGCCGTCCTCCCGCGGTCCACGCTGGCCACGCAGCGGTTCTTCCTGAGCGGGGCCCTCGCGGGCATCCCGTTCGCGTTCCTCGGCCCCCGGCGCAGCGTCTTCCTGTCGTTCTTCCGCGCGGCGATCGCGACCGCCTGGAAGACCGCGGGCAAGCGCGGCCGCTGGACTGGGTGGACGGACGGGGAGTTGTGTGTCATCGTCGCGAGCTGGGCGCTGATGGGGTGCATCCTGGATGCCCGGCCCGCCGCGGTGCAGGGCAAGGGGGTCAGGGTGGCACTCTCGTGGATGCGGGGCGATGGGTTCGCCGACCCCTTGCGGGTAGCCGAGAAGCGGAAGGCGAAGAAGGCCGCTGCGCTGAAGAAGGAGAAGGCGGAGGACGATGCTCGGGTTTAGGGGTGCTGCAGACAGGCAAATCTTGTTATATTGTCTGGTGTTTATATCAGCTAATATGTTGTCCGCGGAGCTGGAGACCTCAGCCCTTCATGGCTGACATATAAGTTATGATGCGCAATTGTGTCACGCGGTCTTGGGTACGAGGAATGAGTGCATCCCCTGGTTCTGGTCCCGGTACGGTGAGGGTAGAGCGGAGGGCGAAGAGCGAGGAACACTGAATGCTATATGCGTACGTACTGTACATAATCGAGGACGCGATTTGTCTTCCACGAGGGAAATTGCAAGATTCTCACATGTCTATATGCAAACATCATAAAATATCCGGAGCATCATGATGTCCATGCTTCCGCATGCTCTAATTTGACCCTAGTACTGTACATATAACTTAAGTCAGCAACAAACAAGAAGTGCGTCTACAGGTCATCTTATCTGTAATCTGCCGGCAGAAGAAGAAAAACCGAAGATCCAAAAAAGAAATAATTAATACTCTCCGATGCGGGGAATCGAACCCCGAGCTGCCGTGTGAAAGACGGCGATGTTAGCCGTTACACCACATCGGAGGCTGTTAAAATACCAAAGGTTCTGCCATATTATGATCATCAATGGTGTCATGATGAGTGCGACAATAAATAGCCAAAGGTTGTCTAACGTAACTGTACTGCCTTTAATGGTATAAGGTAAAGCAGCAACTAGGCTTAGGTCTAGGGTACTGTAGCTATAGCATGGGCACTAAAATCCCCGGTGGGAAAATAGAAGACCAGTAACAATGCCCTCGGCTATAAAAAAAAACCACTAAGCAGGCTAGTACAAGACTTGCTGATAGAGAAGATTGCATCTATGGACTAATCTATAGCCCCTCCTTGATAATATCAAGCATGTGAAGAGCTCGGAGAGGTTTGATTGGAACTACATGAGGTATTTTTTAAATAATCTCTGGAACAAATCTGCTGAGATATCCAGGGCTGGAGCGGACAGGGTCGACCACTTCGTTGAAACGTACAGTCCATGCCAGCTTTCGTTGTGTCTGTTGCCACCAACTTATAAAAACTGCGCTGTATACGGGACAAGAAGCGAGTAGTCATGAATCGTCTTTTCCATTGTCATCCAGGCTAAACAACCACACTCGCAAGTTGTTTGAAGAAAAAAAGTTTAGTCAAAGCTCAAAGCTCATATTTAGTGTCTAGCGTGAACCCCCTCCTCTCCTCACCCTCACAATCTCGCCTTGGGGATCCGATTCCCCTGCTCATCGAAGTTGATCTTCTCGCCGGTGATCAGGCTCTCCTGGAGGGCGGCGCCGATGCGCACGGCCTGGACGGCGCCCTCCAGCTTCAGGGGCACGGGGGTGTCCTCGAGGCAGGAGGCGGTGAACTCGTTGGCCTCGGTGACGAAGGCGTACTCGAAGCGGTCGTAGTAGTGCTGGGGCAGCTCGCGGCGGACGCCGGACTCGTCGAAGACGTTGACCAGGTTGATGGCGGGCTGGGTGTTGACAGCCAGCTTGCCCTTGGTGCCGATGATCTCGGTGGAGTCCTCCTGGCCGGCGGCCATCATGCGCGAGGCGTAGAAGTAGGCGATGCGGCCGTCGTAGAACTCGACCAGGCCGACGGCGTTGTCGCGGTCGTTGTGCTTGCGGAGGTCCGGCTCCACCGCCGTGATGCCCACGGCGGAGACGGACTTCACCTTACTGTCCTGGCCGAAGAACCACAGCGCCAGGTCGATGTCGTGGATCGAGCAGTCCACGAAGATGCCGCCCGAGAACTCGGCGTACGCAACGAAGAACCCCGTCGGGTCTAGCTTGTCGCACGTCTGGCTGCGCATGACCGAGGCCGTGCCGATCGCCCCCGCGGACATCTTGCTGTGCGCGTCCCGGTAGGAGGCGTCGAACCGCCGTGAGAATCCGCACATGACCTTGAGATGGGGTTTCTTGGCTGCGGCGTCGAGGACGGATTGGGACTGTGGGTTCAACCCAAGACGTTAGTTGTATTTTCTCCCTTCAATTGGCTTGTTGGGGGGAAGGAAAGAGGAGATAGGGAGGCGGCAAGGAGCGGAATGTTGATGGTCACATACAATCTCAACACTGGTAGACAAAGGCTTCTCGCACAGGACGTTCTTGTCGGCCTCAATGGCCTTGATTGCCTGCTCGGCGTGCACAGCGGTAGCGGAGGCAACAACCACGGCCTCCAAACCCTCGTGCTTCAGCATATCATCGTAGTTCTTGTACAGCTTCACGCCGTACGGGGCCAGGTGGACCTTGCCCCATTCCAATTCGCTGTCGTCCGGAGTACTGACGGCGACGAGCTCTGCGCGGGGAGTGCGCTGTAGGAAGTTGAGGGCATGGCGCTTGCCCATGCGACCGAGACCGGCACAGCCAACCTTCAATCTTCTGGCAGACATTGTGATGGGTATTTGTATTGGAGGGAGGATAGAGGAGCGGCGAACGGGAGGAAGGTAGATTGAATTGAAACTTGGTGAAGAGAGAAGATGTGCGACGAAAGACAGGAAGAGGAAGAAATTATGAACAGCGAAGCAGCAGGAATTTAACCCCCGACACGCAGCTGGGGGGCAGTTGGAGCAAGTGTCGGTCTGGGTTCTTTCTTTTTTGTTTTCCTTTTCCTTGAGGAAAGATGCGGAGAAAGCTGAGTAGCTGCTGGAGCTGCTGCTGGTTAGCCAAGGAAGCTAGTCCGTCAATCCTTTGGACTGGGTGGCTATTCGTAGGTTTTGCCCATTGAGGTTGGCAGTGGCTGTCGGACGGGGACAGGGACGGTTTCGGGCGGAGTGGAAATCCCGGGGTGACAGGCAAGTCACAGATCCAATACATGTACAGTACCACGAAGACCCCGGAATCTGGCCGTCGGGATCCCTGCCCCGGAGGTCACTTCGGAAACGAGGTTCCTGTGGGAGATGCAGCATTGGCAGGATAAAGAGAAACCGTGACTGCAAACAGCAGTTTTGAGCCCCCTCCAGATGGAACAACAGAAGGGAAATGAGAGATGGGAAGCAGCGAGATGGGCTTGTTGAGCTCAAACAGCATCCAAAGTACGGGGGCGGGGGAAACTACCCTTTCCGGGGTATGTTTGGGGTACGGCGGGGAATGTCGCCCAGAGTAAAAAAAATGGGGAAAGCAAAAGGTGGAACATTATACAGTACGTCCTCAAATGACATACTCTCAATAGAACAGGAATATTGGTGCTCCTTAGCTGGAGACAGAAACCAACACGTACCCAATTGAGATCATACAACTGCCGAATTCTTGCGAGTTAACGCCCTACTCAATTCGCAGGTAATAGCTGTATTGCTACAGCAAGTTCTATACTTATGAAAGTGACACCGATAATTGGTTATGCCGTCCTCCGGGTTCCAGTATGCACAATACTGTACAATGCATTCATGATTCTACCAAAAGTAAACAATTCGTACCAAACAACAAAACAATCACCAGATTCACCAATGTATTCTCAAAGCATAACGAGAAATCTTTCCCCAACCACAGAACTGGTGTGAAGTATACAATCATTCATCATTGATCCGATCCGATCATTCCCTCAAGGGAATCAATCCCCGCATCCCCACGCCCCCACCCCCGACTCGGGAATTCGTTCCCGAAGCGCCTTTCAATGTCTTGGCAGTGAAGCAATCCCACCGAAACTGTCAAGTGGGTTGACTTGGTCCGAGCGTTGGTCGTGGCTTGAGATTGACTTTGATCGCGGTCGATCATGATGAGGGGTATGGCTATCTACGCACAGGATAGAAGTGGCTGAGTCAATCAATTGATTCATTGGGATGAAGAAGCCAATACGTGAGGGTCAGTAAATCTTGGTATGATCGCCGACAGGGATGGTAGCCGCAGTGAAGTACCACTTGGGAAGCTTCAAGATTTTGGGTCCAGGTTCTACAGGGATCATTGCACTGGCAGCAAATAGTGGAGTAGTGAAGGGCAGATCGTGGTCAAAAAATCTCCTTGATCATCGGTTCATTTGAAAAATAACATTGTATAGTATGTTCGTGAATCATCGCTTGAGTTCGTGCCATAAAAACCAAAGAAACAAAGTGAAACATCAATGTTTGAAACATACAACCAAGCCAGACAATCCTACATGGCTCAGGTGGTAGACTGGGTGGCATACAGTCTCTCCTATTCATCCAGGGTATCATCTACCACTTGAGGACCCTGTTCGGGAAATACTCGTCGATCAACTCGAGGTAGTATGGCTGCGGATTACTGGTTAGCTGTATTCTCTGACAAAATCACAAGAGTGGCTCACGAACCTTGAGCTCCTCAGCGCTGGGGATGCCATCGCTCTTGCTGTACAGATCGTACGGGTTGAAGGCCTTGACGGCCTTGAACATCTCCTTGTCCTTCTCGTTCATCAACTCCTGGTAAGCGCCAGCGTTGTGCCAGGGGTAAAAGGAGTGGTAGCGGATCATGGCCAGGGCCTCGGCGGGCAGGGTGGACTGCTCCTTGACGACGTGGTAGAGGTACTCGTCGTGGCCCCAGGAGATCATCACATTGTCCAGCCCGCAGCCGGGGCTGTAGATGCCGTACTGGGTGTCGTAGATCTCGTGGCCGAAGTCGGGGTTCTCCTTGAACGACTCGCGGCCGTAGATGATGCGATCGTCAAACGCGCAGCCGACGGGGAATGTGTCGCCGACGACGTCCCACTGGCCCTGGGCGTCGAAGAAGTACAGCAGTTTGCCCAGGTCGTGGATGAGCCCGGTCAGCTGCATCCAGCGGGGCTTGCCGTCGCGGCGGATCGCCTCCGCGGACTGCAGGAGATGCTCGATCTGGGAAAGGCTGGTGTCCGGATCGGACTCGTCGATCAACGTGTTCAGCTTCTCCATCGCCTCCCACACGCTCATCTCCGCTCGGGTCTTCGCGTGGAATGCATTGCGCGCCTTGAGGTTGTATGCCACCGTCTGCTTGGTGTGCTGCTCCTTGTAGAAGTTCTTGACCCGGTCACAGGCATCCTCGTACTGACGGAACTTGGTCTTGTCCTTCTCCTTGTCGAATTCGGACTCCTCATAGAGACCCTTCTCCGTCTCCTCCTTCAGGTTGGTCTTGAGAACATTGACTGTGTCGATAGCGTCCGAGAGGTCCTCAAGGGCCTGCCCGTCACGTTTGGTGTTGAACACGGGGGTTTCCTGGGCGACTGCGACGGGGGCCATGTTGATGATGTGTATGGTGCGAAAATGAGAGAACTTTTTGAAGCCTGAAGATCACTGTTTTTCGGGCCTACGCGGGTTTGAGGGTATCACACAAGGATTGTTGTTGTTGTTGTTGTTATTGTTGTGAGGATAATGAATGAAAGCGAGGCGACACGGGCATAAATATGATATTTCCATTCTCTCGGCGAACGCAGATTAGACCACCCCAGCAGGAGTTGCCTTCGAAAATGCCAAACACCGAGGATCGCCCTTTGGTTGGTCTGCTGCAGCGCATGACGTTGCGTGATTCTAGCAAACCCACCGTCCGATTTTCCCATCAGCGTGACCACCCCACGCCAGGAGGTCGGATTCTGGGTTCCGAAGCCACAAGACTACTGTGGGAGGATTTGCCCTGGGGTAACATTCCCCGCTATGGTGGAACAGGGAGGTTCGCAGATAGTGTAGATCAGCCAACCAGAGTGTCAGCCACACTCCGGTGTAGCCCTGGAGGCTGTCTGGGCCATGGGTGGAAACAATGCCTCTGGATTCTGGTTTCCGATGGCGGGTTTGCATGCGGGCCGTTGTTCAACCAAAGAGGATTTCTTCATTTGTCAGGGGGCCCCCGACCTCGATTGAGTTCACTCTGTCTGCAAGATACGATCATTGTGGTTCTCTGTAGCTGCACCGCTGACCTGCTGGACGATGACAATAGCCTTGATGCATATGGGCAGACAAGGCTGGCTGTCTTCCCCGCTCGTGTGTGGGATTGAGGTGTGCCTGCCAAGTGCATTGCAGTGCGGGCAGTGCAGGGAGTGCGGGCAGTGCGGTTGATAGATTGGAGAAACAGACTCCGCCTTGAGATCCGTGAAGTTATTGAAAGCTGTTCCAACCCTTCCTTGTTATGCAAGATCCTCAGTAAAAACGGTCGGCACAAAGACCCCCGAGGGGATGGAGTCAGTGGGCGGGGCAAATGCCGGGAATTGCTCCGATGCTAGTACTGAGTAGTGCGGGGTATCGTCTCTCTGCCCCTCTTCTCCTCGTCTACATGCGAAGTACTATTTCCCTGCTTTTCCTGCCACATGTTCTCTTCTTCTTTCTTCTATTCCTCCCGTATCTTTTGTTCCATATCTCCTCCAGTTCGCATCCTGTCCGTATCCCGCCTCAAGCACCACACCATAATCGCAAGGAACTCATCGCGAATCACAATGGGTCTCGCCGACACGCGCTTCAAGCTCAACACCGGAGCGGAGATCCCCGCTCTCGGACTCGGTAAGCGCTACGAGCTCACTACCTCTATCTACCCAGAACCACTAATTCGGTGTCCCAGGAACCTGGCAATCGGCGCCCGGCGAGGTCGAGAAGGCAGTGCGCCACGCCATCCAGGTCGGATACCGCCACATCGACACGGCGTTCGCGTACCAGAACGAGCACGAAGTGGGGAAGGCGATCAACGACGCCATCGCGGCGGGGGAGGTGACGCGCGCGGAGCTGTTCGTGACGACCAAGCTGTGGTGCACGGGGCACACGCGGGTGGAGGCGGCGCTGGACCAGAGCCTGCAGACGCTGGGGCTGGAGTACATCGACCTGTACCTGGTGCACTGGCCGGTGGCGATGAACCCGAACGGCAACCACCCGGTCGTGCCCAAGCTGCCGGACGGCTCGCGGGACCTGCACCGCGACCACCCGCACGTCGAGACGTGGAAGAGCATGGAGAAGCTGGTCGGCGCCGGCAAGACCAAGGCCATCGGCGTCTGCAACTACAGCGTGCCCTACCTGCGGGAGCTCCTGGCCCAGGCTTCCATCGTCCCCGCCGTGAACCAGATCGAGAACCACCCCGCCCTGCCGCAGCAGGAGGTCGTCGACTTCTGCCGCGAAAAGGGCATCCACGTTACCGCGTACAGCCCGCTCGGCAGCACCGGCAGCCCGCTGTTCTCCGCTGAGCCTGTCGTCGAGGTCGCCAAGAAGAGGGACGTCTCCCCCGCCACCGTGCTTCTGAGCTGGCACAGTATGTTTACTTCCTCCTTCTTGCTTCGGCCCTGCTGCCTTTTCTCCCGTTCCCTTCCGCAGAAATCGACAAGCTAATGAATCCTTTACGGTTTAGTCGCCCGTGGCTCTTCGGTTCTTGCCAAGTCGGTGACTCCATCTCGCATCGAGGCGAACCGCCAGCTGGTCGAGCTCGACGAGTCGGATCTGGCCACTATCGCCAAGTACACGGACCAGCTGGCTCGGACAAAGTCCTTCAAGCGTTACGTTTTCCCGCCGTTCGGTCTGGACTTTGGGTTCCCCGATAAGGTCGCCAATTAAGCAAGGATCATCCATAAACAGGCACACCCAGCACCAGTGCAGACCTTCATCCATCAATGGTAGAAAGGGGTATAGAGAGATATAGAAGCCGTTTTGGCTGGATGGTTCAACAGGCAAGAACCAAGTGTGACTTAGTTGTATATGACTCTGATATAAGACTCTTGTATGATTGAAATGACATTTTGACTAAATTCCGCTGTATGCTACAGCAGTTGGTCTCTGTGCATCTAAACTAAAGGGAGGGGGGCTTTCCCAAACAAGAGAGTTGACATGGGTGTTCATCAGCGCACAGTGAACAAACGCAGTAAGCGAGCCTTAGGCGAAACGCCTGACACACACCGATAGAGTGACGTGAAAATGGAAATTCTCACAGCTCAGACTTCAAGTTGTTAAACAGTTAACCAACTCAGCTCTTCCCCGGTCCTCTTGTGCTTTTCTCCAGTTTAATACACCAGATCCCTTCACCTCTACCTCATCATCAAGCCCAAGCCAAAATTACTCCTAAGACGGAAGTGCAATTAGTTCCGCCGAAGTTAGAAGGCAGCCAAAAGCAAACCAGGCCGAGGGGACGATGGACTGAGATCAGTGGCGTCGCGAGGCGGTGGATTCGAGCACAACTGGCAACGCAGTCGCGTGGAAGCCTACCGACACCCTGTCCACGCTGACGTTTGGCGAGCCTGATCCTTGATCATGAGAAATGACGGTCAGCCTCTCTTGATACGCCAAGGTTGCAATTTCGGGGGTCATCTCCTCTTGCGAGATCGAGTCTTCTCTCTTGAGCAAAAGCAAGAGCCCCTGGAGGCGGTTGACTTCTCGCTCAAGCAGGAGAGCACGCGCCAGCTTCAGTGACAGCAAGCCGCGGTCCCGAAGGAGTCCGAAAGCTTCGTTGAGATACGGGTACGGCAAAGATGCCAGAATCCAAGAGGCGGTATAAACTTCATAGTCGGGCCATGTGTATTCAGAATCCGTTGAAGCGGGAGTGGTCGTGCTTCGCCTCGAGTTGCTGCAGTGAAACTCGAAGTTGGGTGGTAGGTGGTCAGCCATATACTTCAGGCAGGCTGTGACGACTTGCGGAGCCCAGCGGTTCTTGAAATCCTGTGCTCCGGGCGTGCTGGCCGTGGGCGTCCCGAGCGACGACGCCTCGGGGTCGAACCTTATAAACGCTTTCAAGGTGATGAGGTAGTCCGCGGGCCGGATACTGCACTGCAGGATCTCGTCAATGGTCTCCCAGCTGATCATGGAGATGGTCAGCTCAATCCCAGCTTTGATGACGTCCGGCAGTTGCAGACATGCTCCAGCCACGGCATACGAGTATGCCACCTCGGCCCTGGCGCTGCCGAAGGGAAACGAAAGCTCGCCGTATGTCGCCTCCGTGTATCCCAGTAACTCAATCGTTTTCTGGTGGAGAAGATGTTCGTTCAAGAGTGGCGCACCATACAGATATTTGAGAGCCATTTCGAAACCATGCATCATGCCGATCTTCTCACCGAAGACCGCGGTGATTCGGTTATACCCTTCCATGTATGGGGGGAATTTCAGTATGACAGCAAGCGACGGGCTTCGTGCGATTATAAGTCTATGTGTCAGCAAGGCAGAAGCAAATTCAGGATCACCTTTCATCAACATTTCAATGCCGAAGTCAATCAATTCTTGATCGCGGTAGAGTCCCAGGAAATGGGTCGACAGGCTATCCGTTGATTCCGATTCTTCGGGCGGATCTTCAATTCAGTCAGCACTCCGACTTGATAACCTCTTCCGCCGGCCAACTGACCGGTAGTTTTGTCCCTATCACCGGCTTGTTTCTCGGCCGTATGGGCTTTGTCCTGAATAGTCTCTTCGACGTCCTTGGGGGAGCAAGGACTCGGTGCGACTGACTCGGATGCAATCTCAGATATTACATATTGACAATGCGACGTGAAATGTGAACAACAGCATGATTTCCTAGGAGAACAGACACAACTTTTTGATCTTGGCGCATGCACGCAGCAATTAGTTTCGAAGGAACAAATCTCCTGGCCACGTTGATCACATTGCGCATTCTTGACGTCCTGCTCGCAAGTTTTGCAAGCCAATGTGCAGTGCTCTTCCTCATTTGACGGTTGCTGCTGCTCACTTGACGACACGCGAGCATCTTTTTCGGTAGCAACTAAGTCAGCGGGCGTCTCAGGCGATGAATCGTCATGTTCAAGGTTCGAGGTCCCAGTGATCCCGGGGTGATCTTCAAGTTCTGTGGAACATGATACCAAGCTTTCGATGTTGGTCTCGGTCAACTGCATTATTCGATGACTTTCGTCAGCGGGTGGCGCAGTCCGCGGCTTCGACGCTTGCAGTGGCTGAGTACTTTCCGTGCTTTGAGTTACTGCAAATGAATCCAAGACGTGAGGACAGAGATCTTGCACCACATCGGGACTTGCTTCGGTCAATGGCACCACAACAGTACTTGCGTCAGTGGTAGACGAGTCTCGTGGCTCTGACTCTTGAAAGGAGTGAGTGCTTTCCGACTCTTGAGTTGCTTTTAGCGAATCCAAGTCTCTAGAATGTGATGCTTCCCCGTCATCATAGTCCAAAGCCTGGCTAGCCTCGACCGAGTCTGAACTGAGATAGGGCGGAGGTAAGGATACGATCGGGGGGTCCGTCGCTGAGAGTGTTCTGGAGCTGACATCCGAAGGCGCTGGGGAGAGACAAGACGGATTCACCTCTGTTGGGACGGGCTGAGCGTGAACTGCTTCGAAAAGGCCGGGAGGTGGACCGGCGTATGGAGGTGGAGGAGACAGCGGCACTTGGGTGTGAGTGAAAGAAGATTGACTCTCCGCGCCTGTGGCTTGCTGCTGCGCCACCATGCCGTTATTGCCATCATCATTAGCGGCAATAGCAGCAAGAAGAGGCAGAGTAGGAGGGGGTGACGGAGGGAGTGAAGGAGGAGTAGAGGGAGGAGGCAGAGGAAAAAGCGAAGGAGAAAGCGGAGTAGAAAGCGGAGGAGGAGGAGGAGGAGGAGGAGGAGGAAGAGGCGGAAGAGAAGGAGCAGCAGCCACCGCCGTCGCCGTCGTCTGAAAAAGGGGACCACTTGACTTCTTCTTCGCGGGCTTCTTAGCCTGTCTCTTTTTTCTCTCTTTTTTGTTCAACTTCCTCTGCGCCTTTCTGGCCTGGACGATATCGGCAAACAAGGCAGCAGGCTGACCATCAATGCCCATATCAGCGTCGTCGTCGTCATCGCTCTCCTGCTTAGTTTGAGCCATCACCTCGACCGCTGGAGTTGCATACTGTGATGCAGCGGGCTGAGCATCCTCAGTCATCTCCACGTCGTTGCTGGCGCTCGGTTCCGAGCTCGTGACGACCGCAACCGTATCAGTGAGCCGGCACATGGTCGGGTCCAAAGTCTGCCTACGCGAACGACAAGGGGGTCGAGGGGGACATGAATCAAGCTCAAGGCGTCGATCAATATCTGCTTGCAGATCGAGCGATCTCTGCCTTTGGGTTTCCTTCTCGGCTGCGGTCTTCTTCGGGCGCCAGACGTTGAAAAAGTCGTCAAAGGCTTCACTCACAACGAGATCTTCGGAGGAACAAAAGGATTGGACGCGGTTGAGCGCAGGATACATTACACTATGAGCATGATAATCAGTCTTGATCCTTTGCTCTTTGGAACCGGAGGGACAAATCGAGCGATACGTACCGATTTCAAGGGCGAGGTGATAAGAATGTCGAGCGATGAGGATAAATCTGTATGTTGAGACCTGGTTAGCAAGACAGATCAAAACAGCGATAACACGGGGGGTTATGCTCACTATCTGATCTGAGTATAAAGCTATCTAAACTGATGTGAAGCAATGCTACAGGCTCGAAAAGACAGCCTGCCTTTGTGGCAGTTAGGTAACTTTTAAGCTTTGAGATTCATTTGAACGAATGGAGGCAGGTGTGACGATGGTTCCCCAAGACAAGGCATGTGTAAAAGAACACTGAATGAAACACGACTATGTTGTGAAGAAAGACAAAGAGAGAAACAAGTATGTTGTTTATCTCACTGGCTGATAGACAAAAAACCCTTCCTCTCACTCTTAAGGCTGTGCAATGTAAAGCGGGTCAAGGCTTGACCTCACATTGTAGCTGTTATGAGCGAAACTGACATGCAGCTTGTTAAGGATATCCGTTCCTGCACGTTACTTCATATGGCTACAGACTTAGCAACTGTTCAGGCCTTCCATTCCAATTTCTGACATCACTGAACATGAATCCTACATTGAGACCATGGTTATGGACAGCTGAGGGCATCATGAGGGTTTCCTCATCCACGTGACTGATCAGATATTTTGAAAGTTTTATTCTATTCTACAACAGCACTAAACAATCTACATGACATTGAGACCTTGACTATAGACAGCTGGACGGCCTCCTATGTCTGGAACTATGTAAGGGTTTTCTCGTCCACGTGACCTTAATGTGAAATAAAGCATGAACCAAAATAGCAACACAGCAACTGATCAGCATGAAGCATTCACACTGAGTGGACAAGAAGGCTTCTGGAAAGTCTTGTTCCAACGCTTGATGGCTTGCAAATCTCCAGTGCAGTAAGGCTCCCACAAGCCTGGATGCAAACAATTTAGTTTCTTGAATGCAGATTTAGAATTGCCTGAAGGATGATCAACTACCAACGATACTAATGCTTTAAAGCTCAACAGACAGCTGGCAAGCTGTGATTGAAATTGTGGTGTGGGTAATTCTGGTATTTGTGGCCGAATCTCATCTAAAAAAAAATGTCAAGAGAGAATGGCTTTGTTTGAAGATATGACTCATAGGAAATTGGCAATGTCAACGAATGGGTAATAAACAAGAAAGGAAAGTAATAATGCTCCGCTCAACGTAACGCTGTTGGTATATCATGATGGATGCAAAACCGGAATTGCTAAGGAGAGGTATCCAACATCAAGATGCAGAAGGCTAAGCCAGAACGTCAATAAAACATCGTAGTCGGGGAAGAAGTGAGTTGAGAAGGTATTGAAGGGAATGGAAGTTTTGTTAGGTCTTCAACAAGGAGTTTAAGGGGTTCAAAACATTCCTCCATCCAGAGGAATTTGGGGGGGTGGGTAGGTAGGAACAGCAGGCGGATGTGTGTCAGCTAGCAGCTGGTGACGGGCCTTCGCGTTCAAGTTGCCTCCCTCGCTGGAAGATTTGCGAAGCCTGGCTCGAGACTTCGGACGCTTTT